ACTCTACGACTCATTTATGATTGATGTAACCTTCAACAAACTTTTTATTTTAATTTTATAAGTATAAAGATAAATATTGTTATCTATTGATTTCTACAAAATTTTATAATATTTCCTTACTAATTATTTTTGTCAGTAAAATTTCAGCTTCATAACTTATCTTAATCACTCTCGTACGCTTTTTACATTCTGATCTTTCTAGTCGTTTCTAAATGTTTGTCTGATGAGAAATAATACTTTTTACCAGATAATTAAATAGGGTTATTTTCCTCGTAAATTTTTTAGTTTTGTTTTATTTTTTCACCATTATCATTGTTTCATTGTAAATTAGGAATATCCTTTTTATTAAACTATTGCTAACGTACATTTTTCTGTCATTACTTAAAGCTTCTCTTGTTTGATTTTATTAGTATTTTCTTTTGCATCTATAAATGCTGCAGATTTTTTTGCTCTATAAGTTGTTGACAATGCAGAGATACCTCTTTATTTTATCCTTTAAAACACATCACTCTTGGACACCATCTTTTGTCAATTCCTACTATGAGTTGCCTGAAACATTTTTTTATTTTTCTTGTGAAAGGTCATTTTTTTGTAAATTGTTTCTTTACCTAACGTGCCTCGCTTTGAGTTGTAATTTTTATAAGTCGTACTTTCTACAACAAAAAACTTAAATACTTTTTTTTTCGATAGTAAATGGTGCCTTAAGTAAAACCAATAAATAATCGAGTATATCGTTCACAAGGTGGCTGCCATAGGGTCCGTAATTCAATAAAAACTTTTTGGCTGTTGATTATTGATAGGTACACTTTTTGTAACAAAATTACATGCACTATTAAAAAATTGCCAGAAAAGTGCTGGGAAAGATAATTGTGACAATTCTTAGATTTTTTGAGGCACTAAGAGTAAAATCTACGTTCTTGGCACATGCATACTTACAAAAATAATTCAAGTAATCATAAAAAAGATCAGTAGATACTGATGCGTACAACTATTATACCGTAATGTATTTTTTCAGTGTAAAACTTGAATTATTATATTAAATAAAACACTTTAGTGTACAGCTAATGTTTTAGTACTCACCTAATGTTACTTAATCGACAACTACTACTAGTCAAATCGCTACAAAAATGTTAACTTTTCATTTTAAGCTATCACAAAAACTCAGGATTCCCACGAGTGCTCATGTATAAAGACACTTTGTCGCACTTGAATAAATTGTTGCTAATAATTATGGTCGTAGAAAACAAAAACTTTAGAAGTGATCAAGCTACACACAACTATTACTTTTCTGAAACTTTACTTAAGTGTAAGTTAGACCTCAATCAAATAGAATCAGCATAGACTAAACAATTACATATCAAGCACGTAGTAATTTTCTAATTGTCTGAAACCTAGTTGGCTCCTGATGGGTATTTGCAGGTACTTAACGGGCACTTAGCGATTACTTGGCAGGCACTTAGTAGATAGTTCATAGGAATTTTGGGGTACTTTAGAGGCACTTGGTGGGTACTTGTCAAGAACTTGAGGAATGGAAGGTACTTGGTGGATACTGGATGGGTATCTGAAGGCTACTTGATGGGTACTCGACCAGCACTTGGCTAGCACTTCACGGTCACTTGATGGACAGCGGGTGGTGGTGGGTACTTAACAGGAACTTGTTTGACATTACGGTCCGTCAAGTTACCTCTTCATTGTTCGAAACTTGGTGGATAATTAGGAGGAACTAAGTGGGTACTTGGCAGGTATTTGGAGATTACTTGACAAGCACTTGGCAGGTACTACAACTTTCCAAGTATCTGTAACCCGTCAAGCAGCCACCGCTTGCCAAGTGCCCGTCAGGTATCCGCCAATTTTCTGTTATCTACCAGCCAAGTACCTGCCGAATACTTACTATTTGAAGTTTTTGTCTTCTACCGCGATAATTATTAGCAAAAATTTTTTTAAGTTGTGTCAAATTTCGTTATAAGTTAGCATTCATCGAAATCCTTAGTTGCTATAAAAGCTTAGTATAAAAGTTGACGACTTTCTAGCGTGTTGACAAGTGTTAGTTGTTAGTTATGTAAATTTAAGTGAGTATTAAAATGTTAGTCGATCGACAACGTGCTTCATTTCAAATTATAATGAAGGTCTTACGCTGTCAAAGATATCTTACGCTGAGATAGTTGTCTCAGAGTGAGAGTGTTGTACATATCAGTAACTGCACACTTTGCAACCATTTGATAGCGCCACTGGTTAGACGTTAGATTTGCACTTCTAAGCTTCTTACCGGCTAAAGTTCGTTGCTTTGCAGTTGTTTATCCACACTGAAAAACACTTTGTGGGAGCCCGTGTTACCCAAAAATCGTTTTAAATGGGCCAAAATTTTTCAATCTTGTAACGGGCCTTGTTTAAAATTATTTATATCCACACAGTTTCTGGCAATAGAATTTTAGTGGTATTTTACTAAGTATAACTTACTTCCAGCAGTTTTTTATACTTGTTTTTTTTTGTTATTACTTATGGAGCTCCTTTCGAAATATAGTTATTCAAACAATCCAACAGCAATGAATCGCTGCAATCCCTGATTATAAAATTTTTCGGCATATTGTAATCCAAATAAGATACTAATGTAAGTTGCCATTGTTTCTAAGTATTTAAAAAATATAGCTGCTGACAGTGCTCTGTCATTCCATTACTGTATAGTACTGGGAGAGAAAAAATTACAAGAAAGAGAGAGAAATAATGAAAAAAATGCGTGTCCAAACGTCTGTCTCCTCTGCCTTTTTTTATTACCTTTCCATACGTGTAATGTTGATTTTGGATGTAGTTGCGCGAGTACTAATACATCATGAAGGTTCATCCTTAACCATACTTACATACCTCAGATTCCACTACAGTTTCAGCCAGCTGGTCAGTGAAGCACAGTTTTTATAGCGTCAACCTTTTTGCTATGATCCCCCATAACTTCGTTACCAGAGTAAAAACAACCCGAGGTTCTTTTTAAAAAAATCTACCATTCCTGTCAATTCTGAAGTAATGTTTTAAATTTCTGCTTATCACTCCACAATATATTATATTTATTAAACTTTTTTAATCACTTTTCTGGCTTAAGGTGATTGGTGTGGTTGAGTGGTTCTCAAACCAATTAATTTGACAGATAATCGATAATTTTTACCGCAAATAATTTTCACAAAATTTTATTACATCATGTTTGATTTTATTGAAAATATACTGGGAAAAAAAAAACTCTTTTGCAGTATTTTATATTTATTATCACGTCTGTTATTTATGAGATGATCTTATCCTTACCATGTTGCAGAGTCCAACTTTCAAGTTTTATATCTTGAAAATGGTATAGGTCATCTTTTTATAATTTTAACAAATACTGTATAGTATCATTCTAAAGTGATTTTCAAAGCTTAAGACATTTCTGTTTAAAGCCAATTTTTGAACCATCTATTTTAATAACATCAGATGGTGATGTAACTTTTTTGAATTAACTATATCTCCTCTCTTTCCTATTATCTTTATTTTGGGCTTCTTATATTTAGATTCCTGGACGCCATTACGTCCGCATTTAAACTTAATTATTTGTTTTTCATACACTTGGGCTCTCTGCATATACAGTTTCTGCAATGGCCTTTTTTACCTTGCTGTACTATATTTTTTGCACCTCAACATCTCCTATGGCTAAAACATGAGTGCACCGGCAGAAGAAAAATATAGATAGAGAGAGAGAGAGAGAGAGAGAGAGAGAGAGAGAGAGAGAGNACATTGTTTATAACATTTGTGCCGTGAATATAATGATTTGATATTGTTATTCAGTAGAAGTAGAATAAGAATCAGTCCTGTATAATCTCTTTACTATTATTTTGAGGGTTTGTACTTAAATACAGTGTACGCATATTTTACTCTGTAATATTGTATGTTTAATTTGTTTAGTGGAGAATGATAAAATAATTTTCTATGCATATTATTTTTTGGGATTCAAAAGTCGTTAGACACTTTTCTCAGAATTCTTCCATTGCCTACAACATTCAGAGCTTCTATCAGTAATTTAATAGTGTAATGCTCTTGCACACCTCTTTTCTTATTTTTTTTTTTCTTTGTATCTGATAACTTTTTTTTTTATTTCTGGTATCTTTTTTCTTAGGAATCATTTTTTAGATCTAATAACCAATTACTGTAAATAATTAGATCAATAATCAGTATTTAAAACATTTTCACTCATACTTATTTCTACATACTAATATTGTCATAGCGATTTTGAGGTTATGTTTTTACTTATCGTTGTTTATTTAATACTCAGGTACTATACGGCTACAATTTCACTATTATTCTACGTTAAACACATATCGATGCATAAAAAACGCCATTTAGACAAATATGCATGCTGTAAATAGTTATAATCATTATTAACATTCCATGATAACCAAATACGTCCCATTTAGCCTCTTACTCGAGCAAATCGGCGGTAAACTGGGACGTGTGCTGTCTTGTTGTTCCAGCATTGGGCACTATATTCAAACATGGGAGACAAATTAAGACACTCTTTTTCATGATAAACAGTTATTATTTATAGCAATACTAAAGTTCTCCTATGGCTAAAACATGAGTGCACCGGCAGAAGAAGAAAAAAAAGAGAGAGAGAGAGAGAGAGAGAGAGAGAGAGAGAGAGAGAGAGAGAGAGAGAGAGACAGAGAGAGACAGAGAGAGTGTGATAAAGCATGACAGCACTGTTTTATCGCACCTGCATAATTGTTACCTTCGCTGAATGCTCTTTCCTACTTTTCATCTTTTACAACTACCTAACACTTAATTAATTTTTGTAAAACAGAAACTTTCCTAGTCTTATGTATTTAAAATTTCAGTTGTAAGGCCCTTTTGCTATGTTATTAGACGATTACATACCAATATATTAACACAAAGGCAAAGGCACTTGCCCATACCACTGCTTTCACTCGCATCTACTAACCAAGTCTAAAAACAATATATATATACTTAACATACTTTTATTCCAGGATTATCTGAATAGTAAATTTGTTGTGAGTCAATTGAAAAAATCTGGAACTTTTCCTGCAAAAAAGCTGTTTAACAAAAAAGATACTGAAGTATGTACGCCAGAAACAGAATCTATCACAGTTACTAAATCTTCAAAACCAGCAGCAACGTTTAAAGTAAAGGTGCCTACTAAAAAAGCTGCGAGTAAAAGTAAGTGATAAAATTCTACGTACCTTACATGTGAACAATATGTAAGAAAAATAATAGTTTCTCTTGAACACACGTTATGGTTAATAATTTATAGCTATAAAATATAAAATAATTCATAAAATAAGTATACAAAACCGTTACACTTTAGATTAGAGAAAAAAAGTCATACATGATTCTCAGCTTTCTTTATCCTAACTCGTGTTAGTAGTTTGAGGTTAAATGTTTTAGTTTTTACCAATATTTTAGAGAGTATTTAATTTCATGGTAATTTTAAAATTAAAATTGTAGGCAACTTTAGCGTACATGCACTTAAATTTTTACGTATTTTTTTTCTGTCTAACAGAACCTTGAAATCATATTTTTTTATTTCCCATTTTCGTGCCACAAATCAAAACAAAACAAAAGCAAAATGCATTCCTGTAAAGATAATCATTCATGGACTTTACATGGTAAGGTGAAGGTAGCTATACGGGATAATTTTCGGTAACCATTTTTTCGATTGATTTTTTGAGGTAGAAAATAAGGTGAAATGTAGCAAAATTTTTTTTTTAATCAAAATCTGGAATCCTATAGAATTATGAGCAAAAAAATGATGTGCTTATCATTTTTTTTAATTCAGATAAAAAGCATTTTCTACGTTGCTTCAGGGAGCAGTAGTGGGACACATTGGTTTTAGCATGAACCTATACTGGAACATGAAGGTACCAATTTCGGGACAAATCTCAATTATGATGAATAATTAGAATATAAAACAATTTAAGTATCCAAAGAAGTAGTTGGTTAACATATATTTATTTTCATGTACTGAAAGCATTCAAAATTATAAAATAAAAATTATATGTGGCGGACACGAATTAAATATAAGTACAACATTACAGAGTAAACTGTGCGTACACTGCATTCAAGTTTACAAACCCTCAAAATAATAGTAAAGAGATTATACAGGACTGATTCTTATTCTATTTCCACTCGAAAACAATATCAAATCATTATATTCACGGCACAAATGTTATAAACAATGTTTAGTATACAATAAAGCTGCTGCAATGAGAAGGAACATAGATTTTCTCGAATAATATTCTTTTTACAAAGCATCAAGAAAATAATTCAGAGGTTCTACAGGGATTACTTATTTAACCTTTCTGTTTTAATGCATGCAGGACCTCTAAATTATAATTGTGAGGCAATTAAATTGATTTTCATCAAGAAAATCTCAGTTTCTTGTCATTGAAGCATTTTTATTATAAATAAAGCATTGTTAATAATTTTTGCGCATTTAAATTATCGATAGCATCATGTTCTGCTTAAAAAAAGGAAAAAATAAGCCCCGTAGGACCTCTGAATTATTTTTTTGATGCTTTGTAAAAAGAATATTCTTCGAGAAAATCTATGTTCCTTTTTATTGCAGCAGTTTTATTGTATACTAAACATTGTTTATAACATTTGTGCCGTGAATATAATGATTTGATATTGTTATTCAGTAGAAGTAGAATAAGAATCAGTCCTGTATAATCTCTTTACTATTATTTTGAGGGTTTGTACTTAAATACAGTGTACGCATATTTTACTCTGTAATATTGTATGTTTAATTTGTTTAGTGGAGAATGATAAAATAATTTTCTATGCATATTATTTTTTGGGATTCAAAAGTCGTTAGACACTTTTCTCAGAATTCTTCCATTGCCTACAACATTCAGAGCTTCTATCAGTAATTTAATAGTGTAATGCTCTTGCACACCTCTTTTCTTATTTTTTTTTTTCTTTGTATCTGATAACTTTTTTTTTTATTTCTGGTATCTTTTTTCTTAGGAATCATTTTTTAGATCTAATAACCAATTACTGTAAATAATTAGATCAATAATCAGTATTTAAAACATTTTCACTCATACTTATTTCTACATACTAATATTGTCATAGCGATTTTGAGGTTATGTTTTTACTTATCGTTGTTTATTTAATACTCAGGTACTATACGGCTACAATTTCACTATTATTCTACGTTAAACACATATCGATGCATAAAAAACGCCATTTAGACAAATATGCATGCTGTAAATAGTTATAATCATTATTAACATTCCATGATAACCAAATACGTCCCATTTAGCCTCTTACTCGAGCAAATCGGCGGTAAACTGGGACGTGTGCTGTCTTGTTGTTCCAGCATTGGGCACTATATTCAAACATGGGAGACAAATTAAGACACTCTTTTTCATGATAAACAGTTATTATTTATAGCAATACTAAAGTACAATTTTATAGAAGAGGTATAGTATGTTAAAAAAAATTTTGACAACATGTTTTAATTTAATTTTTTTATACTTTTATCTAGTTTTTCGCGTTCTCGTCTAATGCATGAAAACTTTCTATATAGTAGGCTGCCCTTACCGAAATTTCTGTGTGATTTTTTTTTAAATTATTTATTTTCTGTGGTGAAATATTTGCATGTGTTCTTATAAC